GAATGGGAAGCATGGGTAGGAGTTGATCTATGAAATTAATTAATTTGTTGAAGGAGAAGCTTTGAGCCAGAGATGATTAAGATGATCTAAGTCACAAAGGTATTTATCCTAATCTTGAGGCAGAGGTGGGTGGGTGTATATTGTCACTGGATTTTTGCACTCTGTGGATTTGAGTCAATATTGTGGCTAATTTAAGGGTAGCATGACAATAAACTAATTTAAAATGAAAACAAAATTCCAAAAAGAAGCAACCACAAAACTGACTTCACATACACAACATGCTAAAAAGAAGTATTTCCATATATTCACCTACAGGTAACAGACAAATATTTTTCCACATTCTATACAATCTCAACCCAAACTGGGGAAGTTGAAGAAAGTATAGTGCATAGATATGGTATATTATTAAATATCATTTATGATAGCTTCAAATTGTAAAATGTAGTCTCTGATAATCCAATTTCATGTTTACCCATCAATAATTTTTTTTTTATAAAATACATCTTTTGTGATGCAGATTTGATGGAATAATGTAAAATGATGAATTATACCTCGAAATCACCACATTCTATTATCTTTATAAATTTTACCAGCTTTGAACTTATGACTCCACCATAAAACACGAAATGCAACACCATCAACTAAAATTTGTTCAATATTCTAATTTGCTACATAGTTGGGCTCTTCAGGAATATAATTTATTGACATCAAGCTGTTTGTAACTCTCTGTGTTTAAATTATATTTTTACAGCCAGTGGGATACATATCATCTAGTCGCCTCCAAAAACTGAAGCAATAATGGAAAAGTCAGAAGCAACATGCTGATTTCCCTTTAGAGCATGAAAAATAGAGGGAGAGAGGAGAGAAGAAGAAAGAGAATAAGAAAGATAAGGAGACAGAGAAGGTCTGAATATTGGAGACTGAAGAAGTGAGAGTTAGACACATTTTGAATATATCATCATACCAGTTTCCATTATAAATTATTAAAATAACACCTCTCAAGTTCTCTTTGAAATAGCTTGAAATTTCCATGCCATCCATTTGTAAGACTCTAAGTGGATTATTTATAAGTATGAAATGGTCAATAACAATTCACTTTCCATTTTAAAGTCAGCTATTTTTTCTGTATTTTGGAGAGAGAAATGGGTGAAAAAGACACTTTTTGAACTATGGCATTTTGAATTCAAAATCAAATGAGTAATCCTGGATTTATTCACATGGAGAACATCGCAAGGTGGATTTTTTTTAACACTTCTTTTCTAACATTCTTCCTCTAGAAAAATAAGCAACTCACTGTGCCAGAATAGTGCATGACCTGATTCTTTAAATAGAATGCATCCACAGGATCACTGAACAGGCTTATCAAATGTTCTTAAAGGCAAGATCCCTTGATGAGAGATTCTTGGGATATAAGCATGCCCTGAATTTATCAATAGCTTGAAAGCAAGAAAGGGATAAGACTGGTCATTGACTACACAAGAATCTATCAAGTTCTCTTTGAAATAGCTTGGCATTTCTATGTCACCCATTTAGGATGTTTTACATTGACAGATGCTTTGTATGTTTTTGAATTAAATTCCAAAGGGAAGAAAAAGCAAACTCACTGGCCTTAATGGTGGAGAAATTTAACTTCCAAAATTATGAAAAGAAAAAAAAATGCTATCAGTATATTCTTACATACCGTTTATCTGCTAAAAGGATGAAAAAATATTAACGGCATTAAGAGAAAAGAATTAAACTTTTTTTACATTAATGCAATTTATTTCCAGAGGATAATACTGAAGCAAGTAGTTTAGTGGAATTAAAAAATGGATTGATTTATGGGGCCGGCCCTGTGGCCTAGTGGTTAAGTTCAGAGCACTTCACTTGGGTGGCCCAGGTTCACAAGTTCAGATCCCAGGTGCACACCTACATCACTTGTCAGCCATCCTGTTGCACAAACCCACATATAAAATAGAGGAAGACTGGCACAGATGTTAGCTCAGGGCTAATCTTTCTCAAGCTAAAAAAGAGGAGGATTGGCAACAAATGTTAGGTTGGGGCAACTCTTCCTCAGCAAAAAACAAAATAAAACAAAACATGGATTGACTTAGTGAATGGAAAGTTACTTTAGCTGGGGATAAAACAAGTAAAGTCTTTATGTTTGCATGTTTCAGTTATAAAAACTATATGCTTAGCTGGGGAAAACTTGCCCTTTTATTATGGTGATTTATTATAAGTAAATGTATTCTCACAAACAACTAGCACAGCTTTTTTCAGGTTCAGAAATCAAATTAAATGATCTACGAACATCCTCCTACCTGGGAATCCAATGGTTCCTATCTTGATGAAAATCTTATGACTATTCCTTAAACTACCATAGTGAAACACAATGAAAAGAATTATGATCACTTTAAACTGGGTGGCATTCATCAAATGGTAACCTAGGGGTGAAAGGTCCTATATTCCATTTCCAATCCTTTGTATCATCTACTGAACTAATGTATTTTTCTTTTTAAAATGTCCCAAAAGATATAAGATGTCCCTGTGCTTATAGGATTTTGAAATTTTATTTTAAGGAATCAAAAGAAATTTGCTCTGTGAGCAGGTTTTTAAATTTGGCTTCAGACCTCTGATTCAGGGAACAAGCAATCTCCTTCCAACCTTTTCTTCTACTGGAAAGATGTCCCCTTTTAACCCATGCCTCTTGGCCCAACACAAATCAATGAACTCAAGACCCAGTATACCACGTCTTAAAAATCCATTTAGAAAACAGTTGCTCCATTCAAAGTTCATCTCCTTCCCTTATCAGAAATTGCTGGAAATGTAATTTTGCAGCAAACATTTCATTTCTTGTCTTGAAATAGACTGAGGTAAATGTAAAGCCAATGATTAGATAAATGTAATGTCTTGGGTTGATGCCACAATGCAATATTCGATGGTGTGGTCAGTACTGATGGATGTTTTGTATAGTTACTCAGCCGTATAACAGGACGAATTCCCATGACTCTATTTCAAATACTGTGTGGCTCCTCTCAATTAATATTACCAAAAGTACTTTGGCACAGATACAAAAAGCATGAGGGATTAGTGCTGAGCATGCAAGTGCAGTCATCACTGCTCTGTACAGAGATTCTCCTTTATAGAATAAACTGTATCTGTGTACAATTTATGTACTGAGCCTCACTGCACACAGTAAATGACACAACAAAGATTCTTTCTCCCTCAAAAATCACATCTATGAAGTTATAAGTAGAAAGCCTGTGCTAAGTAATCACCTACAGTACAGTTAAGGATTAAATCCTGATGAAGTTAACACACATACAAGGGCACACACAAGCACTGTAGCCGTAGAAACACATTACTTATGAAAGTCTATTTTAATGGCAAGGAAACATATTTCTCTTCTGTCTTCCCTGCTAGCAAAGCACATATCATTCAATCCAAAAGAGGATGAAAGGAAAAGACATGACTTTCTCTGAGAAGGAATAAAAAACAGAAAATTGGTAACATCTTTAGAAAACATTTTTTGGAAATGTAGAGGCTAAATTTTCTGACACTGGTACTTAGATTGCATAAGATAGGAACGAATCACATAACACAATCATAAATATCTTTTTTTCAAGTTCTGCTTCTCATGATGTTTGTTCTTTCGTGGTTATATTTCACTGTTATATAGAAACCCATGATTATCAGGGACAATATCAAGTCACTATCATTTGTTTCAGTGATCAAAATGATAAATTTCCACAATTTACCTTTTGTGTGTGTGTGTGCGTGTGAGGAAGATTGGCCTTGAGTTAACGTCTGTTGCCAATCTTCCTCTTTTTTGCTTGCGGAAGACTGTTGCTGAGCTAACATCTATGCCAGTCTTCCTCTATTTTATGTGGGATGCTGCCACAGCATGGCTGGATGAGCAGTGCTAGGTGCACACCCAGGATCCAAAACTGCCACCAAAGCGGAGTGTGTGAACTCAACCACTGTGCCACCAAGCCAGGCCCCATAACTTCCCTCTTTTAAATTAAAATGTTCAGTACTTGCTAAAACAACTAACACAATAATTATCAATAAATCAACATTTTATTTTCTTGCATCCTTAGGTCCAGCATTGGATAGTGATTTAGAAAGATCTGTCATCTCTCCTATTGAAGTAATATGTGATCATTATTTGCAACTCAAAATAATTTTTATGAGTTTTTCTAACCTCCATCCATGTCTATTGTTTAGCATGCAATAGACACTTTCTGTTTTCTTCTTGAGGACATGAGTTACAGACTTTTTTGTCTTTTGTTTCTTCCTTGCATTCTCTCAGTATCTTCTGATTTTTTTTTGTTTCTTATTTATTTGTTTTATTCTTTGTTTTTCCTGTTGGAGGCTTCACTACTGGTGGCAGTCAGACAAGTTTCAACTGCTAAAGAATTCTCAGAGTACTGGTAACTATAATGCTTAGGAATCTACAGGTTATTGCAAGAAAAGAATGCAAAATAGCAGCAGCATTGAAATAAAAGAAATGCATCTCAACCAAAGATCTGCCTCACAGCATAGATCAGGAGAAGCCAAGAACTAGCTCTTACTGTCCTCCATCTGCAGGACCACAGCGGACACACTTTTTCTCTCAAATCAGAACCACCAAGATAGGCACAGAACACCCTGGAACCAGGGAACCTAGTGTAGGCACATTCTTGTGAAGTAACCGGCCCCAGTGGCAGAGCCCTCTGGAAGTCTCACTTAGACCAGGTGTAAACCATCATCTCACTGTTATCAATAAACGATGCTCACAAGCTGGTACAAACTACCAGACACTGCCCTTTGGCCCCTCGGTTGAAAAGCAACACTATTAATCAGTACAACTCACACCTTGACTAGGAGTCAATACTGTCTTGGCACATCTCTCACTTCAGCAAAACAGCTCAGACCAATTCCAGGCACGCTGGGATCAACCCTCAGACCATAGCTTTTCTTAAATAAAACTGTGCAACGAAAACACTGACTGAAACTCTGGATACACGTGCATGGCTTACCTCTGACTCTTGGTGAACAAGCATTTTCATCGGGGAACACCAAACGGAAATTTTGGAAACTTCATTATCCGAGGCAACTCAGACTCTCTAGGAAAGGTTATGATCCGCGAGAAGCCGGAAGTCAGATAACTACCCATCGGGAAACCTCTCGCGGGACAGCAAGGCCTGCCGCGAGATGTCGTCGGCCGCCGCTCTGCGCTCGTCCTGCTGGAAACCTGGCCGCGGGAACTCACAGCCCTGTCGTTTTCGTGCGCTTTCCGTCCTACATCTGGAATGGAGTGACTGCTGTGGCAATTCCTGGAGAAGATTTTTTAATTGTTGCTTTTGACAGTTTGGTGAAGGATTTTCAATTCACATCTGGCCCCAAATGTTATAAATTAACAGACAAAACAAACATTGGATGCGGCGGTTTTCATGGAGCCTGAGGCTGACAAGCGTTATTGAAGCAAGACTAAAGATGTATACGCATTCCAGTATTAAGGCGTGACTAAGGGGGCTGTTGCTGTGATGCCGTCTACAATCCTCTCTCCGAGGTGCTTCTTTCCATACTGTTTGCAACATCTTCAGGGTGAAGAAGTAAAGGGAGTCATGTACAGCTTGGACGGTGTCAGGGTAGGGTGTCTGTTGGTTCACGGTCCTGGGATTTCCCAGGTGAAATTCAAAACTGGCCTGTGTCCATGGAGAGCAAGGAGAGACTGAAGACGGAGGCAGACCACTCCAAATTGGTAAGTGGCAGTTTTAATAAGCGAGGGAACTCACATGCAAGGCTTGTTGTGGGTGATCGGAAGACGAGGAGATCTCCTCACCTGACCACCAGAATCTTAAGAATTTGTATAGAGGCCTTAATGGGCTTCAGTCACGTATACACTCCAGGTGGTCTCAATAACACATTACTCTCTCTGGGCTGTGTCCTAGAAGTAGCTCCTAGTAAGGGACCGGTGTGTGGAACATACATTCCAAGAACAGGGGAGAGGGTAAGGGGCCTCTGATGGCCGGAGTCTAGTTAGAGAGTCACCCCGCGGCCACGTCCTCATGATGACCTCCTCCAACACTCCAGCCCTCCTGCCTGGCTCTTAGAATTTTACACACACACACGCACCCCTCTTCTGCAGTGTCTCCTGAGCCGTCCTCAGGTTTTATTAGCATGGAGGTGGCTCATTTGGTAGCTTTCTGTCTGCACTGCAGGCAGATATCACAACCGTAATTTAGGCACATGTAAGAGAAAACAGTTTAAGATAATGATTCCCAAAATAAATAATTTTTTTCCCACAAAGTGCCCATGATCCAAACCACTGATTTATTGAGTCTCCTAGGCTGATAGGTCAGATCACTCAGGGCGTTTACTTGTGTCCTCGTGTGATTTAGTAAAGATGATACATTTGCAAACTCATTAGGTATGAACACACAACATTTTGCTTGGGTAATGGGACAGGTGCCTCCTTGCCAGGCAGTAATAATGTCCAAGGCCATCCTACTTGGAGGACAGCTTTTCTCATTAGAGACATCTCAGTGTTCAGTAAGAACAGGCTTTGTCGGCTGTCGTGTAAAGCTTGCTCAGTGAATTTACTAAGGGAGCTATGACATCCTCCAGGCTTAATGGTGGGAACAAAGATGGCGCCAAATGGTTGTAGCAGTGGAAAAAAGAACGTGCCCATTTGGCCCTGAGGAGAGGGAGGTTGGCAATTTTTGTTACAGCAGGCATATTCTCCCCTGTGCCTGGGGAAATCCCAGGGTGCAGTGGCCCAACCACCCAGGTGGAAGCCATGGCCAAAGATTTGTATCACACAAATCTTTGCCACAGAAAACCCCATTCGGGGCTACTCAGTAAATACTGGGGAAGAGTAACCAGTCAGTGCCAAACCAGTAGCAATCATGTAATGTGACAGAATGACTACAGAGTTCCGGTGGTATCCACTCCATATCCCAGGGACAATTGGGGTGGTTCTGTTTAGAGTGATATTTTTGTTCCCAGCATAGGGGTTCATGAGAGCTCAAATGTCCATAACCTGGGGTAAGCACATTAACCCATCCCAAATCTCAGTGTGGCTCCCCGTGGCTCTGATGATGGTATTTTTGGGACCTTTCCTGACAGCAGTTTGGTGGGCTGCCTGTGTAGTTCGACTGACAGAAAAAGAGTACCCATGCCCAGCATTATTGATAGTGTATAACACAGGCCAGATTTCTGGATCAGTAGTACTATCAGTTGAAGTAGGAGTATTAGTTCTAGTTTGTTCTTCCTTAATGCACTGCTTTAGGGCCTTCCACTCCCCTCCCTGTATCCCGCCATGGCAATCCTAACAGGCTAAGAGAGGCAGCTGCTCGTATACCCAACAGTTGGATTGATTCCTTTGCCCAATATATAAGTGGGCCCACTGTAGAAAGGTATTATCATCAGGTGCCCATCCCATGACTGGACACCACAGGAACAGCAGAAGTCTAAGATCAAAAAGGTATATTTAGTAGGAACTTGTATGAGAAGTTATTCGCCTTCTGTAAGAATTATACTTGTGCCTGATTCTTAGCTGTTAAGGTAGCTGCAGCTTTAGGAATCTGAACTGGTTGTACATACCATGCATTTTGGCTGGGGGAGGCAGCAATGTCAGGCATAAGGAGATGGACCAAGGGTGGGATATGCCAGACCAGGACTCCCACCTTCTCCCCTATTTCAATGATGCATGTTCCATTCCAGGTATAGTGTGTTTCAGCAGGTCCATCTTGCAACAGGACAATGGGATCCCAGTGGAGATTGAGTAGTTCCCCTTTACCCAGAGGTGTGAAGTAACTCGCCCATCTCGATGGGACACCCTATTGCAAATTCCAGTAGGTGACCCCTTTCCCAGGTGTGATGGAGCTTGGTGTTCTCAGCAGCACAGCATACTGATTCACAGTGAGAGTTGAGACAATGTCTGTCTCCTGAGACTTTCATACCTTTACGGTATTGGGTGACGGGGTTCCCAGTCTGGCATATGGGGCAACAGCCCGTACTGACTGATCATTCAAATGTATTAAAGCCTGGGATAGTACTTTAATCCACTTGGCCAAGGTGGTTTTACTTGTTAGTAATTTAATCTGCTGCTTTAATATTCCATTCTTCCTTTTTATTAACCCTGCTGCTTGTGGGTTATAGGGGAGATAGAACCTCCATTCAATGTCACGTTCTTTTGCCCAGTCTTGCATGTCATGATCTTTGAAATGTGATCCATGATCACTGTCTATTCGATGAGGCTATCGGTATGTGGTACTCAGCTTCTCTATTCTTCTATTAGTGGCAGGCTAGTTTAAGTGGCAACAGGGAAAACCTTGGGTTAGACCACAGGCACTGTCTGCACAAACCAAGGCATATTTAGAACTCTCAGTCAGAGGGAGTGGGCCAGTATAATTAATTTGCCAATCTCTCACTGGTGGGGAAATCTGGTGGATGGCTCCAGACTCCTTTGGCAGTTGCCTCGAGTGTTGTTTAGAACCCGCAGGACTTGCTATTACTGCATTAACCGAGTCACTGTATTTCAAGGGCAATCTCGCATCCTTAGCAATACACTAGCCCACCTAGGTGCTGTTCCTATGCACCCAATCTGCTGTATCTACTGAAGGGTCAGTTGCTAGGCTTGTACCTGGGCTAGGGGAGGCGCTTCCTGATTGCCAGGAGGTGTCAGCGCCTTATGAATTCAGATATGGAAGACAGTGAGGACTGCCTCAGGCTCTTGCAGGTGAATCCAAAGGCCTTTCCATATGTCCTGACCCACAAGGGTTTATTCATGATCATCCATCCCTTGACTTCCCATTGTCCGAGCCGTAGGGTTAATCCCTTTAGAACAGCCCTACTGTCAGTGCAAAGAGTTAATAGCCAGGGCTCATGAGGGATCACCAGCCAAACTGCTGAGTTCAGCACACTGGCTGTTGCGGTTCATTCCTCTTTCCATCCAGGTGGTGTCAGTGTTGGGCTAAATAGCCACTGCAGTCCATGCAGGCAGGTTTGCCCTGACTAGACCATCTGTATTCCAGGCATCAGGGGGATTTTCCCCCACTCCCTTTCTACAGGCTGCAGAGGCCACCACAGGAATAGGGGCAGGAGCATTTGGAGGATTTACATATTCTACAGGGCCTAGCAGCCCCCGCATTTCTAGAGACAGTGGGCTAGAGGACAGGGTGCTCCTCTGCTGCAGATAGCAATGCTGCTTAGTCAGAGTGGGAGTTTGAGCCATGGTAGAGGTAGGTTGATGGAACATATTAATGCACCCCTTGATAGGAAGGGAAGTTCTTACCACGATATGCTGTTCCTTCCTGAGAGGCCCTACCTGGAGAGGTGCAGTGTACACTGTAAGGAGCTTTGTTCTATGAGGGTATGTCAGGTTTCTGCCCTTTTCCAGAGTTGGCACCAAAATCCTAGAGGTACTCTCTTTTCTGTTATCTCTGCCACAGTGCCCAGCCTATACCTTCCAGAATCACAGGCACATCTAACTCAAATGGCAGCCCAGCTCGGGAGATACCCAGAGCTTTAATCTGCTTCACTAGTAATTTTACCTTCTCAAATGCAGTTTGTTGCTCTGATCTCCTGTGTGCCCTTTGTTTACCAAGCAGTAGAAGAGACAGAGGCACTTTGCCAGGTGGGGAATAAAAGTCCTCCAAAACTCCAAAATCCGTCCAAAAGCTTGTACCTCTTTCACGTTCTCAGGGGTTAGATAGGCCTGCATCTTGTCGATAACAGTCTGTCGGATAATGCAGGGCTTACCCAACTATATGACTCCCAAAAACTTTATGGCAGTGCCTGGGTCTTGAATTTTCTGTAGGTTCACTACCTATCGTCTTGCTCACAGATGTTCCAGCAAAGTCTGCAGAGTGTCCTGTAGCAGAGGCAAGTCTTCACATGTCAACATTATATCATCAATGTAATGGGCCCATTTCACTAATCTGGGGAAGGCGAACAGGGACAGATCTCAGGCTACCATTCCATGACATATTGTGGAGCTGTGCAGGTGGCCTTGGGGAAGCACTTGAAAAGTCCATTGCTGGGGCCAGCCTGGTGGCACAGCGGTTAAGTTTGCGTGTTTTGCTTCGCAGTGGCCCGGAGTTCGTGGGTTTGGATCCCAAGTGCAGACATGGCACCACTTGGCAAAAAGCCATGCTGTGG